AGCCAGTCGGCTGAAACAGACCCAGCGCGATGCAGGGATAATTTAGTGGTCAGGAACAGAAAACTGCTACTACAGACAGACTCCAGGTGCTCAGAGGGCTGGGTCTCTTGGGATGGAGCCCAGGCCTGGGAAGGCCTTGTGGGAGAGATGCTGGGACCGTGGGTGCTCGGGCCTGAAGCGGCTGGGGGGCGGCGGCACTGTCTGGGCTCTGCTTCGGGATTCCCCTCTTTGTATTACATTCATCACTTCACTCGGCTGCCGAGTTCTGTGAGTTTCAATTAATCGTCCTTTGTACAGTGTCACACAGGGGTCAATGGCTGCTCCTGTGCTGAGCCGGCCTGGTCCTCACCTCTGAGCCTGGGACTCCGCCGGAGAATCTTTCCTGGAGCTTCAGGCTTTTGTCCGGCTTCAAAATGTAAGCAGGGGAGACGCTCAGGGCCAGGTGAGCCTCCCACTGCTGTCCAGGTTGGTCCTCGGGAGACCTCCTCTCCACACCTCTGCCCAGTGTCCCATGAGCAGGGCCCATGGCAGTATGCCACTTCCTTCCTCTGCTTCTTTGCCAGCCCCTCAGGCCCCAGTGTGGGGTTTAAAGACTGTTGCATGGAGCTGAGGACAGCACAGCTAAGACCCTCTGAATGTTAACTGAGCTGCTCTGGAATTTCCCAAGGTCACCACCAGGCCTCTGTCAGGAAGCACTCTCAGCACCTTGAGCTCCTGCAGTAGAGCACGGGCGTTCCAGACAGGTAGGATCACTCAGAAGGAGCCCAGTGACAGGGCAGCAATGAGGACATTCAAGAATGTTCGTTCCGTGTTGACGATGGTAGTGTGCTGGAAATGTTAGGATTCATAAGGACAGCATTAAAGTAAAAAAAAAAAACAACTCTCAATTCAGTACTTAAGATGTCCCTCTGAGGTCCAGATGGACAACAGGGCCTAAATCCACTCAACACAGGGCTCAGCAGTGTCCATGTGGCTGCCAAACATGGTGGACGTCACCTCTGAGTTGGGGACAGAATCTGGATGTGTACGGATTTCGCACGACCCCGCTGGTGTCTGCCATCAAAACACTGAGAACTAGTGGCAATGTAGTGACCGAGGACCAAGCTCAGCTCATGCTGCCTGCTGCTGGCCGCTGGGCCTGACCCCAAGCAAGCCCTCTTATCCCCCAGAAGAGGGTGGGAGTCACGGTCATTCTCAAAAATAAAATACCCCACAAATTCAGATTTCATTGTGATTGGTTGGACAAAACCATTTGTGGAGGAGAATATCCATCAATCCGACATTATCTATTTTTCTCACATCTGTCTCTCATATGGGAGCCTGTGCCACCGCTAGCACAGTCCTGTCTGGGAACAGTTCCTCACCAGGGGTGTGCTGCCATCCCAGCCGCCAGGAGGCCGAGGCAGAGCAGTGTGAGGCCAGCCTGACCCCGTCAGGAGGCCCTGTCTTTAACAGAATTCCAAGAAGTTCCCTCCTGCTGTCCTTGGTCACCCAGCACAGCCTCCAGCTGCTGTGCCCCGACTTGCTTTTAGTTTCTGCCATCTGACTTTCTGAAAGCCTCAGGTGAGTGGGGTAAGTGTGTGTCAGTGGTCGGCTCCTTGGCTGTGAATGTGAATGGATCCCACGGAAGGAGCCCTGTTCATCTGCTCCCTTCCGCCCACTTCCCCAGCCACGGGACACTTTTGATTGGTGGCTTCATGAGTGAGGCTGCCAAGTCTTGGCACTGCCAAGTTTTGGCACATCCGTCCATGGTGGATGGTCTGGAGGTGGGGTCACTAAGCTCTGTATCAGGTGTGGCTTCATTTTAGGGACTGCAGGCTGTGTTCACTCCTTCAGCTCCCTTGGGACTGGAGTAGGCCTTGCCTGGGCCCCGCCTGTCCGCACACGGGTCAGCCCTCCTCACAGGGGTTGGAGGTCTGTGGGGATCTGTGGCTGCAACACGGGGGTGGGGGGTGCATTTCTCTAGTGACTGACAATGCTAAGCATCCTTTATGTGCTTATTTAGCCACTGTGTATCTTCTTTGGAGAAATATCTGTTCAAATCTTTGCCCATTTAAAAAAATTGGGCTGTTTTTTTATCTTACTGACTACAATTCTTAGGTATTCTGGATACAAATAATTTATCAGACATGATTTGTGACGATTTCCTTCCACTCTGTCACTTTTCTTTTTCTTTTTTTTATAATAATGACTTTTAAAAAGCAAAAGCAAATATTTCAATTGCAATGAAGTCCAATTTGCCAATTTTTTCTTCTATAAATGAGCTGTGCTTTTGGTGTCCTATCTAAGAAATCTTTGCCTAATCCAAGGTGACAAAGACTTACTCCTGTATTTTGTTGCAGAAAATGGATAGTTTCAGTTCTTAAAAGTATGCTACATTTTGAGTTGATTATGTGTGGTGTGAGATAAATTCAGTTTTTGTTATAGTTTAGATGTGAGGTGAACCCCAAATCTCCTGATAGCACAGGAATGTTCAGAGGTGATTGGATTGTGAGAGCTGTGACCTAATCTGTCCATTCTAGTTTGAATGACTGGGTGGTAACTGTGGGCAGGTGGAGTGTGGCTGAGGAGGGGGTCCCTGGGAATGGAGCATCTGCCCTGTGGCCCCTTCCCCCAGCTCTCTCTCTGCCTCCCGACCCCACCATGAGCTGAGCTGCTCTCCTCTGCGGGGCTCTTCCCCAGGGATGTGCTGCCTCACTTGGGCCCAGAGCAATGGAGCAGCTGTCTGTGGACAGAGCCTCTGAAACTTCGAGCCCCAAATAAAGCTTTCCTCCTCTAGGTTGTTTTGGTCGGGCGCTTGGGTCACAGTAGAAAATAAGTCAACTAACACAGTGCTTCTCTGTTTGTACCTCTGGGTACCTGGCGATCCAATTGTCCCCACATTGTTTGCAGAAAGACCCTCTTTCCTCCACTGGAAGCTGACTGAGGCCGTGGTAAGCCGTTGACTGGCCTTGGTGGAAGATTTATCTGTGGATTTCCACTGAGCACATTCCCTTGATCACGGCTGCTTTGCAGGGAGTTCCCTCCAGGAGGGGCACCTGTGTGGGGACCCCCTTTCCCTCGAGTCCTCCTTAGTAGGGTCTCCAGGACTGCCTCAGGCGGCGTACCGCCAGGCCTTCCCTTCCAGCCTTCAGGCACAGCCTGCCGCTGCGCTTTCTCACCCAGGGCTGTGGGCAAGCACGGCTGCCTTCTTCCTGCCTGTGGGGGAAGCATCTGGTCTTTTGCTCTCCACAGATGCCCTTTATGAAGCTGGGACAGCTCTCTCCTATTCTACCATGGGAAGGACTTTTCTGTGTTGTTTGAGACCATCTTGTGGGCTCTGTCCTTTGTTCCATTTGTATGTTACAGTCACTGACTTGGGGACGTAAACCACCCTTGTCTTCCTGGGACCCACTGCCTCCCTTCTTTTCATGCTGCTGGGTTCCGCCTGCAGCATTCGATCAGCACTTTTGCCCGTGGCTGGGGGTGGGTCAGTGGTAGAGCACCATCTAGCCTGCGCGGGGCCCTGAGAAAGAGCTGCTGCACTGTGAGGACCCAGCCTGGGCCCAGCTTCTCCAGGGCAGTGCTGACCCCCCAGATGATCTGGACGGTCGTCCCTCTCCCTGTCTGTCCTGACGGAGTAGTGTCAGACTGGCACTACTTCAAACGTAACCAAATTCACCAGGGAAGGCAGCCAGGCCTGTGCTTTTCTTCATGGGAACATGAAAGCTGTGATTTCAGGTTCCTTATTGTCTGGGTCTATTCAGGGTTCTGTCTCCTCAGGTCGGGACTTTCCATGTCACCTGAGCTGCTAGTTGGTGGCATGAAGCTGTTCCTGACACACACTTCTCCCCCTGGGGTCAGCATAATGCCTTTGTTAGTTTCTTTCTCTCTTTTTCCTTGGTTGGTTTAGTTTAAAAAAAGAAATCAATTTTGTTGATATTTTTAAAGAACAAACTTTATCTCCTTGATTTTTTCTGTTGTGTTCCATTTTCTAGTTGATTTCTGCTCTGACCTATGTCTTTTCCTTTTGCTTTCTTGGGTTTGATCTTCCTCCCCCTCTGTTGAGATGGAAGCTTATGCTGTTGGTTTGAGGACTTTCTGTATTTCTGAGTGCTACTCTAGCCCTGTGTTGTTAAATTTGATGTGTTATATTTTTGTTTTGTTTAGTTCAAATTATTTCCAAACTTCATTGTGATTTTTTTCCCCTTTAACTCATGAATCTTTTAGAAGTTTCTTTTTCTAGTTCTAATTGAATTCCTTAGTAGCTGGGAAATGTATTCTGAATGATTTAAACTCTTTTAAATATTTTGAAACTAGCTCCGAGGCCTCGAGTGTGTAGCTCTCCAGCCTCAGTGTGCGCTCATTGCTTTGGGGCAGACGCTCCACCAATGTCAGTGAGCAAGTTGTTTGGGGGCCTGTGAGGCCTTCTGCATCCTTGCTGACCTTCTGTCCAGTGCTCTGTTAATAATTAAGAGTGGAGCCTGGCACGGTGGCCACACCTGTAATCCCAGAGACTCAGGAGGCCGAGGCAAGAGAATCGTATGTTCAAGGCCAGACTCAGCAACTCAGTGAGGCCCTAAGCAACTTAGTGAGACCCTGTCTCAAAATAAAAAATGAAAATGTCTGGGGTGTGGCTCAGTGGCAAAGCCATCGGCTTCTCCCGCCCCAGGCTTGGGGCACAGAGAGACTCTGCTTGGACAGGCTATCTCAATCACCAGCTCCCAGAGGGGAGCCATCTCCATGTGGACCCGTTGGGGGTAGAGGAGGTGAGCTGATGTCACCCTGTAGGGAAGCACCTTCCCTGGAGAGTTGTCTCACACACTCAGTATTGACACTGTTCTGTAAGGTGTCTGAGGGGGTGGCCATGGCACACTGGAGCCAGGACCCTCGTGTCAGGGCCGTCTTGTGAATGGGAGGAGTGGGACATGGAGGGAGAAAATGCTAGCAGAGCCTGGTCATGGGCACAGGTGCCTCTAAGAAGGCAATGATCTTACGAAAAAGCAGCACAGAGTCCGAGAGAATAGCAGAGATTTCATTCTCCCAGGTGGGCAGTGGGCGTGGAACAAGGGAAGGAGAGAGCCCTGGGCGAGACCATCCACCAGGAGCAGCACTGCAGTCCACCTTCCGAAAGTGGGCAGCTGGACAGGTGCCTCCCACCAGGGCAGCCTCAAATGTTCATTGTCAAGTTGATGAACTGGAAGCAGAGAGAGAGAGAGGAATGAGGGCTTATCCCCCCACGTAACTCCAGAGAGTACGATGGGACCAGAGAGCATGACAGGGACAGTGGAATATCCTCTCTCCTTTCGAGGGGCAGCCTCACTCAGGCCCCATGACCAGGGCAACAGAAAGCAGCTTCCCCTTTGCAGGGTCCCCTGCCTTCAGGAGGGAGGCAACCCTCCATCACAGCAGGGCTGCGGGAGCGACTGGGGCTCGTCAGCAGTGGCCTGGTGGGCAGGAGGTGGACTTCCTCTCACCCCTCTCCAGGGTCCCCGCCTTGCTTCCCACCGGGCTTGTCATGGCAGCATGATGCCTATGCACAGCTGTGGGGAGTCCTCTCTCCCTCCCTGGCAGGGAACCTGCTTCAGTTCCCAAACCTCACATATGCAGGAATCACAGGATCCCGTGAAACAAGATTCCGATGCCTTGGTCTGGACTCTATGTTTCTAACCTGCTTCCTCGGGCAGGGCTGGTCTCCCATGCCGCAGCAGGGCAGCTGGGAAAGGTCCTCTGGGGGGGGTGCACTGAAGCCCCAATGCTCCTTCCGAGATTTGGAAAGTGGCCCATGCTCTCCTAGCCCAGCATCCTCCCTGGGGGCGCCTTGGGTCTGAAGTGCGGAGGTGCACACACAGGCGTGCGCCCAGGGCAGCCATAGGACCACCTGGGCGGGGGAGTGGAGGGAGGGAAGTTGGGAGCAGGCCGGCCAGGAGCCCAGGCGGCAGGAGCCAGGGAGGGCGCCAGCATGCTAGGTGGTTCATTTCTAAGACCCAGTTTCCACTTCTGCAGAATGGGGCGCTATGGGCACTCAGCAGTGGATTTAACCTTGACAGTGACCCTGTGAGCCAAGTGAAGAGTGCCTTAGAGCTGTTGGGCACTGTGTTATCTCAGCCACCCACAGGAACTCCAGGCCTCTCAGGAACTGTGCATTTGGCGCGTTTCAGGAGATGTGCTCTGCGGGGCCCTGGGCAGAAGGCTGTGTCGTACCTCGTTTATGTTGAGGTGGATGAAGTCCTTGTTCTTCATACGGAGTGCCTGGAATACCCCTGCCGGGAGAGAGGAGGAGTTTCCCAGCCCCAGGGCCAGCCTGGGCTGACTGTGGGGAGCTGCTCCCTCTAGTGGGAATCAGGGGTCTTCTGGCACAGCAGGCAGGACCGTGCTGGCCAGTGCTGGCCTCTACCCTATGCCAGTCTGCTGGCCAACTCCTGGGTCCAAAACATCTTCCTGTCCTAATCCTTGGGGTTACAGACCCCTTGAAATCCATGACCCCAGAAAACAAGTGCCTGTATCCAAGGTTTTACTGAGTCTGAAAGCTGTTCTGTGTCTAATCCCTCATGGGTGGGGGCACTTGGGGCTGTCACAGGACAGGCAGCAGGGACAGCAGGGAGAGCAGGCTGAGCTGGTTGGGGTCATCATGTGTGTCCCCAGGCCTCAGCCTCCCACTTTAGAAAGAGCTGACCACTCCTGGCTTCAAGTTTTCACGTGAGGACAGAGTGGGGAGAGGGGACTGACTACTGCGGAGCAGAGGGACGGGGAGACCCAACAACCAAGTGACCTGAGTCCAGATCCCGGGTGGCCAATGAGCAGTCAAGAGGCCACTGGGGATTCCAGCATGGACTGGCACTAGGTAACGTCGAGGGTCCCTGAGAACTTGGTCAGGTATGCAAATGGCAGCTCCATCTTACAAGGCCAAGTCTACTGGCTGGAAAAATCTACAGAGGGGAGGGCAGGCCCGAGATGGGTTAGCAACCCACTTGGGGGAAAGGATGTATTGGGGACATGGGGGGGAAGTCGCAGGTGATGAGTGTTAAGGCTAAGTGTTGCGCACAGGATGCAGACCTGCTGCTGTCCCCCCACATCTCTCTAAGGTGGCCGTGGCCACATATGGCCTGCTCCTGTGGCTTTCCTCCCCTCTCCATGGTGCTGGGGACAGAGCCAGGGGCCTCGTGAGTGTGGGTAAGGGCTTTGCCTGGAGCCACACCCTGCCTCTGTCTGGATTGTCTGAGTTCCCACAGGGGCTGTAGTAGAGTTTGGGAAGCTCTGAGTGTGGGGTTTTATTCTTTCCATGCAGTGGATGTTGCAGCTGTCTGATGGGAAGTTGAAATGGCCTGGGAAGCCTTGGGCCCTGATCCCTGGTGCTCCACAGAACACGCTGAGGGCCCCGTGGTGGGGAGGGTCAGGCCTGAGCGGTCCAAGAAAGGAGAAGCCATGCACCCCCAGCCAGAGCAGCACTAGGCTAAGCCTCCTGGCTGCAGCCAGGAGGAGGGGAGAAGGGACAAATCTCCAATTTCTAGGGTCAGCTCTGCCCACCCTGTGTGTCTATGCCATCTTTATAGGTGGTCCCTTCTCCACAGCTGCTGGTGACCTGGGCCAGCATTCAGGCCCAGCTGGCTTGGCCCCTTCAAGCCTCCTGCATCAGGCCTCAGCCCACCCTGAGCCTGCGGGTCACAGAAACAAGCTTCAGGCAATCAGAACTGTCACCTGCCTAACAGAGCTGTAGCACCGTGCCACAGAGACCCCTCCTTGCTTTACCAGGTGCCGTGAGGTCACCCATCAAGCTAGCAAATTCCGAGAAGTACCAGATACATAATTTGCAAGACTCATGCAAAATGGAAGACTAGGGCCTCTGGTTCAAAAGTCAAGACCTTCAGGATGGTGACTTCAGAGCATTTAACTCAGCACAAGGTGCCTTGGAGACATGGTCCCTTTGTGCTTGGATGGCATGCTTGAGCTGCCCGGGACACATGCAGTGTCCCTTCTTAGCCATCCTGTAAAGGAGGTGGCTGCAGCCTCAAACAGCACCTACACATAATCTCTGTCCCTTTTGGTGGGACAAGTCTCTTTTGAGGTAACTGGGTCCATGAGGGAGGGAAGAGGGGACCAAGATTCTGATTCTGTACATTGTTGGGACCTGACCTGAGGTGGGAGCTTCCCTGGGATGGTGGGGCACGAGCCCACCTTGGCCTAGTGTCCTCACACAGACAGGACAGGTGGGGAACAGGGATCTCTGGACGTTGTACATGACACTGCACCTGTCCTGGGCAGCCACATGGGTCATGTGTCTCATAGCTCCCAATGGCCCTGTGGGTCTGTCTGCCATATTTGCTGGTTGCTTGTATGTGCTCATGAAGGGTAACCAGACCTGGGGTGGACCCGGGTGGAAGACACTCACGGCTTGCATTCTCCAGCCGGACCAGGCAGTTGAGGAAGTCGTCCAGGTCCAGCTGAAGCCCCTCGTCGGCGTACCTGAGGATGATGAGCTGCAGGAGGCGGCTGCTGAGCTGGAAGCCTGTGGAGGAACAGGAGGCCCCAGGACTGGCTCAGCCCAGAGGACCACACTGTGGGCCAGGGAGTCCCATGTGGCCAGGGAGAACTGGCCAAAGGAGCGTGTTCTGCCTGGCAAGGTGAGAGCTTCCTGGTGGGGGCCTGGCTTGGTTTGGGTGGCATGGAGGTGTCTGCCAGGACGGGCAGGTGCTCACAGGTGCTCTGACACTGTGGGCTTAGTGAGCTCTCAGCTTTGGTTTTTCACCAACATCACCCCTGGGGTCTGGTCTACCTTCCAGGAGGCTTCCTGAGGCACCTTCCCAGTGGTCAGTGTCTGAGCCCCATGCTGAGTCCTGCCAGCCTCCCCTCTGGTTCTGTCTGAGCTCACTTCTGTCAGGTCCTGTCCTGAGGATTCCAGGGTGGCACCTGGTATGACTGACTCTCCAGGGTGTTTTAACCCAAGGGCAAGGGGGCTAGAAATGGTCCTGAGAGGACATGCTGCTTGCTGATTCCTGCACACCCACGCTGGAGGGACAGTGCCTGGCTGCAGCCAGGAGGCTTGGCCTAGTGCCGCTCTGGCTGGGGGTGCACGACTTCAGTGTCCTCATTTGTCAAATGCTGGGTTCAAGGTGTCTGAACACCCGGAAAACCCTGTAGCATGTTTAGCACTTTGATGTCTAATCATATGCAACTTGTTTATTTTGCAGTGCTGGGGATGGAACCCAGGGCCTTGCACATGCTCAGGCAGACGCTCACCACTGAGCACTCCAGCCCTGATTCGACACTCTCAGGAGCAGTATCCTTGCCCTCCTTCCTCCTGGTCTGCAGGTTCAGTGCAGGTGGTCCCAGGACTGTTTTTTGTTTTTGTTGTTGTTTATTTTTTTGTTTTTTGCTGTTTTTCCCAGCTGCAGCCAGAGAAGGAGACTGCTCTGACTCAGAGCTCAGTGCTGGGCCCATGCCCTGGTGCTGCCCAGAACCTGGCATCTGCCTTGGCGGGCTGAAGAGGCAGGGTTGGGACCTCCCTCACCAGAGCTGGGTAGGAGGACCTGGTCACACCATCCTCTCTGGAGGTTCCCTTGGGTCCCTGCTCTGTCCCTCCTGCCCTGGGAGCAGGATCACTGACCCCAGGAGAGTGGTCTGCTTGTATAGCTCTCCTGTGTTCTTCTCCCTCACAAAGGACCGAGCAACCTTGCTGGGCACATTCTGCCCTCAGCAGGCCTGACCCTGGGCATGTTTCCAGGGGTTGCTGCCTGGGAGCGGGCCCCATTTGAAGCTGCACAGGTCCTGGTTTACGACTGTGCTGGTCAGATGCAAAGGGGACACGGAGACCCCAGCTGGGTGCACAGGACACGAGGCCTCAGAGCCTGGGACAGTCACAGCAATGCTGGGTGGATGGTGAGAAGGTAGCAGAGTGTCAATGGAATGATCTGGTTTGGATTTGGTCTGTTGCTGACAAAGCTGGCACAGGGTCACAGGTGGCAGAGGGACACGCAGGTCCCCAAAGCATGGGGACATGGGCTGTCTCATCATGGCAACAATATCACCATGCAGAACTTAGAGGTCAGGAAGTAGTATGCTTGCCACCACAGAGTCCCTGGTTACTCTGCAGTGGAGAACACGGCCAGAGGCCTCTGGGGGCAGGCCACGTTCATTCTTGGAAGATACTTCTAACCCTCCAGCCCCTGTTCACAGTGGTTTAAAATGAGGGTCTTATGAGGGGCCAGGCTGCAGCCAGGAGGCTTGGCCTAGTGCTTCTCTGGCTGGGGGTGCACGGCTTCAGTGTCCTTATTTGTCAAATGCAGGGTTCAAGACCTGGGGTGCTAGGTCTGTGACTTAAGCAGCATCAGCTCAGCTCAGAGGCCCACCACTGGCCACCAGCTAGGGCCAGGGCCAGGGCCCAGAAGGCAGCACACTGGCCCCACCTCAGGCAACCCCACGCCCCAGCAGGTCCTCACCTGCAGCTCTCAGTGCAGTCCGCAGCTCGTAGGACGACATGGTGCCGGACTTGTCGACGTCGAACTGAATGAACAGGTTCTGTGGGGTGGGGCCGGCAGGGATGGGAGGAGTGGCTAAAGGGCAGCCTGGGCAGCAGCAGCTGGAGGGCAGCCGGCCCCGAGGGCCCTGAGAAGTGAGGCTGGCCACCCTCCTGTGTGAGCAGCGCTGGAGATGGATCCCAGGGCCTCCCACAGGCCAGGCTTCCCCCAGGGCCTCCCCCAGGCCAGCCCCCCACCCCCAGCTACCCCAGCCCAGCGCCCCTGTCTTCCCTTCCGTCTAGGGGACTGATGCAAGCATCAGGATTCTACTCTGGTGCCTCTCCTCGTCCCTGCCACCATCACTTAGCCTGTGGCCTTGGCCTTTGCCCCCCTGCCCTAGGCTTGGGGTTCTTGCCAGGTCACATACGATCCACTGCTTCAGCCTGTCCCAGAACACTAGAAATTCACTGAATTCCAGTTTCCCGTTGCCGCTGGTCTGGCCGCATGGGTCAAGGAAGTTTGACCTTTCAACCCAGGGTCCTCAGGGGCCAGCTCTGGGGCACCCAGGATGGCCTGTGGGCTGGTCTGGTGGTGTGGGTGTCAGTGCTGGCCCTGGGGAGGTGGCTTTAAGTACTGAACCTTGGTTCTCTGAAGAGGGTATATGGAAGGTGAGATGGTTTCAAAAGCACAGAAATAGCTCTTCTGTTTCCTGCGAAGGGAACCAAGTGCCAATGAGGTCCCAAATCCCTTGAGAAACCTCTGCCCCCTGGACGGACCCAGGCCACTTGATTCTGATGGACTTCAGCACCAGGGGTCCCCTAGCTATTGAATTTGCCCATGGAGACTGTGCGCCTCAAACCCTGGGCAGAGTGCTGTCGGAAGTTGCAGGCCCTAAGCCTGCTGGGAAGGATACGTCCATCAGGGAAATGATATTTCTGCAGGAGATCAGGCTCAGCTTCTTGAACTTGAGGTCTTTCCCTGAAATCACATGTGAAAGTTGAATTTGGTTGACCCTCAGTCAAATGTGCTGAAGCCCAGGGTGGCCAGAGCCAGGCTCTTGGACTGTGACGTGGGCATTCTTATGATGGTGGTAAGAATAGGGGGAAATTTATAATATATGAAAAAAAGCTTAAAAAATGGGAATGTCGGGCTGGTTGCAGCTAAGTGATAAAACGCCTGCCCCAGCACCCGCAAAGCCATGGACCCAGCCCCCAGCACTGCAAAACTAGAACACACACCCCCAACCCCCAAACCCAACAACTGAAACAGGGATCACTCTCTCATCATTTTTTTTTTCTAATTCAATAATTCTAAATGACAGATCGCCCATGAAGGTTTCTCTTAGGTCATTTAAGGGCAGAAGCTTGAAAATGAATCGATGACTGAAGGAAGGGCCTTGCTAAGGACGAAGGCCACTCCCCACACGTGCAATACCCATGGAAATTGTGTTCCTGGATGAACTGCTCACACAAAGTGAGCTTAAGGTGGAATTTAAACTTGCGGAGGAACTTGGACATTGATACACTGCTGGTGGAAATGTCAAACGGTCCCTTTGGAAAACGGCTGGGCGCTAAAACATCAAGTGCAGAGTTCCGACAGAAATTCTCCTCACCGTGGAGGGAAGAGGAAAGCAATACGCCCATTGGAAACCGAGGTCCACTGCAGCGGTACCCAAGTTCACGTCAGTGGACAAATGAAGAGACAAAGGGGCACGCCACACAGGGAATGCCAGTGGCTATGAAAAGGAGCAAAGCCCAGACTCCCGGTGGCAGGCGTGAACCTGGAAGTCACTGAGAGAAGGAAGCCAGGCCAGAAGGCCTCCTGCCAACTGCCCAGGATCGGCAGATCCAGAGAGAGCAGAGCAGTGGTTCCTGAGGACGGGGAGGATGGAGACGGGGAGGGCTGTGAGCGGGCACAGGGTCTCCCTCTGAGGGGAGGGAATGTCCTGGAACTGAGCCCGTGCCCACACACTGACTGGTAAGAGAGAGTGATTTGTTGGTGGTGAGGGTTGGTGATCTTCACCTTGGCCAGTAGGCTTTTGTGCATCTTTTAGAATTGTCCACCTTTAACTTGTGTCATTTTTTTGGAATCAGGGAATAAACAATGACAGCTGTTTCTGAAGTCCTGGGAAGCCCAGCGCAGAGGTCTAGAGGCTGGCAGTGTGGTCCCCCACCCCATGGCCCCCAGGGGTTCACTCAACTCTTCTGCAGCACAGCATTTAAGACATACTCCAGTTCCTCTGCGGTCACCTCCATGTCCTGTGAAGACATTGCTCCTTAGGCCCTCAGGACTCCCGTGAGTCTCTGTCAGCTCCAGCTTGACTGGGCTCAAGGGACAGACTGGCCCTCCTGAAACAGCCACAAGCAGATCACCCGTCTTCTGGGTAGCTGCTGCTGCCCACCAGCTTCTGGGGAAGGTCCAGCTGACCAGCAGAGGCCCACCCAAGGTGGACACAGAATACTGGGCTTGGCATGCTGCCACCTTCCCGAGGATCAGAGATACCTGGAGCGGTTGGCAAAGCTCAGATGGCCCTGGAGGTGTTGCAGGGAGCTGGAGAGCAGGCCAGCCTCCTGCAAAGTTGCAACTGGGGAGCAGAGCGGAGGACACTCCCTCCTGGAACCGCCCCTCCTGGACTGCCGCCCCTCCTGGACAGCCTTCTCCAGGACACGCCCCTCCTGGGCACGCCCCTTTTGGACACTCCCCCTCCTGAGCGCCCCAGGCACTGTCAGGTCACCTGATCCAGGACTGTGGCTGCTGGCTCTTTCCAAGTCCTCTAGGGGATCTAAGGGCACCCACAGCAGCATCCACAGAGCAGAAGCTCAAGGCGGATGCAGCCGGCCTGGACCCACACCTACAGAAGGGGGTCTTCAGTCTTGCCGGGTCCCTGGGGGGCTTTCATGTGCAGGGAAGTTTGGGTGGCACTGCTGTTGGGCTCATCTGTCCAGGAGCTGGGCCAGCAAGGGGGACCCCCTGTACAACGGCTTTAACCAACAACTGCTGGTGAGACGGGCCAAGGATAGGTGGCTGATTACCAAGGAAAAGGAAATGGGCAGATGACTCCTGACCACCAGCCTCTGGGGAGGGGAGGGTCAGACTCTCCAAACACAAGCAGGTGGCCTCTTCCTGCCTTTTGGTCAGTAGAAAGGAGAAGAAAGGAAACCTGAAATCCATAAAAGGGCAAGACACTGTTCTGCTCTTGCCTTGGCATTTCTCCGGTGTTTAATCTTCAACACCTGGGGAATGAGGCCTGATCCTGATTTTCAGGACCGGTATCACTGGTTCTGCTTGGAGCTCCTGGTCCTGGGTTTGGATGTTTCACCCTGTGAGAAGGGTGGATGTAGCCCGCACCCACACTGGGGGATGGGGGGAGTGGGAAGCAGACCTCCTGCCCGCATCCCCTTCCCCCTTCACCCACTCCACTTCTGACGACTTCTGTCCCTGCCCTTCATCTCAGTAGCTGAGAGGCCACCATGCTGGCTCTGACCTGTCACCTCCTGAGATCTCCAGATAGCACCTGACCTGGGGATTGGCCCCCATGCTGTGCCCTGCCCAAGGGAAGTGGCTGCTCTTCCTGCTGCGCTTTGCACAAGGCCCAGACCCTGTGTCCATCTCCTACCCTGCTTGGCTACTGCAAGGCCCCAGTCCAGCACTAGATACCCCAGCTTCAGGTCAGGCTACCAGCCAGCTCCTTTCGCACCAGGGGCCCCAGGCAGGGGAAGCAGAGATTACTGATGTCATCGGCACCTCCACACACATCAGTTCACCAGGCTACACAATGGGCTGGGCCATTTCCCCTGAGAGGAAGGACAATCCTGGGGCCAGGAGGCTTTTCCCAGGCCCCCAGGAGGCCATGAGCCCAGCAAGGAAGCTGAGCAACAGGGCTGAGGATGAGGGCAGCACTGAGGACAGGAGTCCTTCCTCGGTGGCCTAAGCCTGGCCCTGGCTGCCAATCCTGGACACCCTCTGGTGTTAATGGATGGAAATGCTTTGCACCAAGGAACTCTCTCCTGGGCACGCAGTTTGCAGTGTGCCTCCCTGGACAGCACAGAGCAGAACACAGAGCATTTTAATGGCAGTGATTTCAGGGCAGAAGAGTTCAGAGACCCCTCCTCTTCAAGCCTTCCCCAATCTGTCACAAGAGACCTCTGGGCCAGTTCTGAGCCACCATGGGCCCTGCTGCCCCATGGAGCAATGGTGCCAGGTGTGTGGACAGGCTGTTTCTGGGCATCTACTGACCAGGGCTGGGGTCACTTTGCAACAAGCCCCTCGAGGCCTCAGGGAGGCACCACTGTCAAACCCCATGACCAACACCCTCTGCTGGGAAGAGGCCAGGCCTTGGTCAGGTGCACCCTACCTCGCCGGCGATTCTTTGGAACAGGGCCCGGAACTGCTGCTCCTCCTCTGTCTCCTGTTCAGGTGGCTTTGGCTGTGAGGGCTGAAAAAATAGCCAGAGGTGGGCACAGAAGGACCCGCAGGAGAGAAACTTGGTATTGCTCTCCCAAAGAAACACAGGAAAGAAAAGCCCTGGAATGGACACAGTGCTGCCCCAAGGGACAAGCCAGGACTTCGAGGACCCTCATGTGCCAGCAGTCACCATGGACACAGTGTGCACCAGCTGCTGCCCACGGAGCAGCAGCCTCAAGGGCTCAGGGAGCCTCTAGAGGAAGTCCTCAAGACGAGGACGAGGAGTCTGGGAGGACCTGGTTAGCTAGACTCATTGCACCCTTCTGTCTCAGACTCCAGGAGGCAGACCATCACGAATGGAGTCTAAAGATCTGCTGGCCTTTAGGAATGGTCTCTACACTCTGTGGATAGATCCCTAGCCCGCTGTGGATGGATCCCTAGCACCCTGTGGACCAGAGCAGCTCTGTGTGGTGTGGCAGCTTGAGCAGGAATAGGAATCAGCAGAGCACAAAGCAACCGGTCAGTGCCCTGCCTGTCCAGGTGACTTTCCTCAGGGTGCTCAGGCTGCAGGGCGTCCTTCTGTGCAGGGGCCTGGGTGGGGTGTAGCTCCGTAGCTCTGATTTCCCAGGTGAGGAGCGACTTGGTGTCGATGTGGGGGATGAACTCCAGCATGAGTGGCCCCATCCCGGAGAGACCATCAGGGCCAGTGCCTCCCTTCAGCCCCATGTGCAGAGAGGGGCAGGCCCAGCAGTCATACTCATCTCAGCCCTGGCCCCGATTCCCGCTGCCTCACATCTGTTCCCAGCATGGAGCTGCAGGTCTCCTCTTAGAGCACCACACCCTGGTGCCTCCTGAAGGTCTCATGGCCCTTGGACGGGATGAAATGGACCCTCCTCCCAACACTCAGAGAGTGGGAGGACTCGTGTCCTTGAGTCCACAGAGAGGACCTACCCATTTGCTTGGTTTCTTTTTATTATTTTTATTAAAATGCATTCATTTTGCCCCCTCACAGGAGGCAGGTGCCTCTCCACGGAGGTGGAATCCCAGAGAAAGAGGACATCCACAACCTGTCTCACCTTGGCAGTCCTGTCTGTGTGAGGGACAGAGGACCCAGGCTCAGCCTGCAGGTCAGTCAAGCATAGGCACTGACCCCACGGCCTGGACATGAGCTCAAGGTGGCACCGTGGTCAGAGGAAGGCCCTCAGCCTCCCACCGAGTCCCACCCTCCCTAGCCAGGGGTGCACTCACCTCAGGAAGGTTGATGTCCACGGTGCCATCCAGGTCCCTGTAGGGGCAGAGAGCACAGTGCCTCCACTGTGTGTTTCATGGGGGACCCTCATGTGCCATCTGCTGAGCTGCAGGAAGCCCTCCTGGCTCACTGCCCTTATGTCCTGCAGGATTTGCAGACCCCATGCATGGACACGCCACCCCCATCACTCAGACCCTCCCCTTGGCTGCCCTCATCCAAGGACACCCTGCAAATCCTGGGCTCTGCAGGTAACAGAGTTAACCCTGATGTGCTCCCTGATCCCCTGGTATCCTCCAATGAGGGCGGTGGAGGTGGCATGTGGAGCGGAGCAGGCTCTCTGCACACTATGCGGGAAACTCTGCATCTCCAGAGGAGAGACGCTGAGACCTGTCACTCAGCTGGGAAGGACTTCAAGAGGATGAGTCCTGGAGTCAAGACCAAGAGCCACCTGAGCCTGCATGCCACACTCCCAGTCCTGGTCATGTGTGTCACTTGTGTTTGGGGAAAAGAGGAAGAAAGGTGGCAACTGTCACTCTTGCTGTTCTCATCCTGGGCCCTCAGTGTTTGGACAGCTGTGATACTAAGAGGAGGGGCAGCCTTGTCCTGGCTCCTGCCAATGCTGGGACAGTTGGAGGAATCAGGTCTTACACATCCAGACCTGCAGCACTCCCAAGGACACACCAGCCATCCCAGGAGAACACAGGCTTCAGAGCTGGGAGGAAGCCCACTGGTCGGCCCTCGGATTCGGCCTCACTGTGCGCAAGGCCAGAGCAGCCCGGCGTCCACTGCCTTTTCTCTACCTCTACACAGGTTGGTCCCTTCCTGGGGAATTTTCCAGCTTAAAATATGGAGGCAGACTTTGCTACAATCTCTAGAACAGCTTCGCTGGTTCAGGAAATGGGTCATTGCCTCTCAAGCACTTCCCCTCTGCCACAGAGCAACCAGCACAGGGCGGTCATGGGAAGCTTATCCCTAGAAGTAACGGATACAAGCTTCACCAGGATACTGTGAAGACGCGTGGCGGAGTGTAAGACAGTTCAGACTGGCCAGCATCTTTAAACTGGAGCTGAGGGAACCCGCCAGTCTGGTAAGGGGACAGTCCTCTTCATTGTGGGTGGGAGTCTAGCATCCCTAAGTGTGCCTCCACTCCAGGGTCTGAGAAAACCAAGGTCTTGCCAAGAGGGCCTTGGGGGTAGGACTGGCAGCTGGGAGGGAGACTGGCAGGTCTGCCTGGGGAGGGAAGAGAAGGGCTGAAAAGCCTCGATTCCCAGGGGGATGGAAAGGGCCCGGCTTCGCAATCCTGGTGGCCCCAGTGCCTGGATGCTAGAGGAAGGGGCCTGGGGTCCGCCTCTGCTCCTCACCGGCTAATGGCTTTCTTCTCCGAAAAGATTCTCAGACAGAAGTCAGCCTCCTGATGGGGCTCAAAGGTGCTGGGGACCAGGATGTACTCCCCCGGGGGCAGCCGGAAGCGGTCGGAGACTTCCCTCAGGTTGATGAACGTCTTGCTTCTAGCCAGGGAGGCATGGTACCTGAAGAAGTCTTTGTCCAGGTGTTCGTCATTGCCAGGGCTCTGTAGGAGGAGGAGGGGGCTCTCTGAGGCTGGCCTTGCTCCTCAGGCAGAGTTTGGTATGGGTTACAATCTCTGGCACAAAACTGAGAAAGAGCTGGGAATGCAGAAGCCTAATGGGACCCGAGTGTGGCCTTGCTCCCCACCTGGTAAATGGCATAGCCGATGGTCAGCATGTCAGCGCCAAACCTCTTGAGCTTCCTTCGATCTTTCTGCATCAGGGCTACAAGCAAAGTACATTCCTCCTGCCCCTCGTCTTTCTCAGTCAGGGACAGTTTTATCTGTGGATTGGTCCAAAAGGTATCTGCCATTTGAAAGAGAAGGATTACTGCCCCTTCCTTGAGGGGACAAAACAAAAAAGCAAAGTGCACTCCACTCCCCTCCCCTCCCAAGTCCTCCCAACTTGAGGTTTTCCCATCAGCTCTCGGGCCCTGCTTCCTGGGGCCTCCCTTTCCTGCCACCTTCTGAGCCACTTCTCAGCCTTCCAGGGTCTTCCTCCGGGTCTAGCCTGCTGAAGTTTGCTCCACCCTATGTTTCCCACTCGGAATTTCAGGGGGGCCTGCGTTGGCCTGGGGTCATCCTCCTGCCTCTTTTTGTTGATTGTGCACTTTGGGTAGGACTGACCTCGTCCCCAACCCAGGGATGAACTCCAGTCTCTGGCAATCCCTTTTGCCGCAGAGAATTGGAGCAAAGCTGAGCAGTGCTCAGGGCCCCGGCACCATGGGGCTGAGGAGTTAGGGGGTCAGGGCTCTGAGGCTACCTCGCAGTGCGTGTGAGGCCTGTGGAAGGCCTGATGCTGAGGCAAGCCCCTGGCCCTGCTCACGAAGACGGCCAGACAGAGGGAAGAAGCCCAGGGGAGAGGGCCAAGCTGAGCTGCACCCCAAGCCCATCTTGTTGCTGCCCGGCACTGTCAGGCCAGCAGGGCGGTGAGCCCTCTTTACAGCCGATCTGGCCAGCGGTGATCTGTCTCTTATACTGGAAAATGGCCCAAGTGGCAGAAGAGGGTGCTTCCATGAGTACTTCTTGTCCAGCTTTCTACCAAGCCCTCATGTCCAGGTCTCCCTGGGGTCCTGCAGACCAACTACCCACTTCCAGCTTTCTCTGGGGTCCTGCCCTGGCCCTTTGATGTCCCCAGGATGGACTGGACTCTTGGAAATGGAAGAGAGAATGACAGGGAGGCCACGCACCCAGGAAGTTGCGGCAGCCCCCTGCGGTGGAGCCGCGGACCCAGCTGCCCTGGTGCACGGCCACTTCCCACCTGTGCAGCGCGTCTTCTTGCAGTGCATCGGGGCTGAGGTTGCAGACCTCCACCTTGTCGAAGTGGGCCCTGAAGTCCTGGAAGGCCATCCTGCACACAGAGGGTCAGGCGGGTGAGGGAGGGCAGTGGCAGCCCACCATCCTTCCCTCCAACCATCCAGCTCCCGTCCTCCAGGGCGGGGAGGCTCAACTGGGGACTGAACACAGACAAAAGTGAAGATTCAAAAAGGAGAAAAAGACAGTCACACGGCGTGATGGGCCATGGTGGGGCCACATGCAGCATGGGGTGGGGTGTCCCTCCTCGGGAGCTGGGAGCCTCAGGACCAGGCGCCCTTCAAGAGGAGATGGAAAGCAGGCCTGTGGGGAGCAGCTGCTGGGGTCCAGGCAGGCGAAGAGCAAGGTCGTGGGCATTGGGTCAGCAGGGGGCGTGGCTTTGACTCTGGGGACGGGGAAGCCTTTGGAGGGTGTGGAGCAGAGTAACCCGGTCCACCGCTGCTGTGTGGAGCAGACCTTAGGGACACAGGTGAAGCTGACCGGCCAGCTGGGAAGTCATGGCAAGAGAAGGGGGTGCCCAGTCCAGCTGGTGGCCACAGGGAGGCATGATCTGAAGGCAGAGCCCAGAGGTCCTGATGGTTGAGGGTGAACATGAAAGGGATAGGGAAGGTGGGACAGAGCCATGTGGGAGGGAGGCTCTGGAGGGCAGGCCGAGTGGCCTCTCTGAGAGGCTGAGCCAAGGGTGTCAGGGCTAGCAGGGCAGGGAGGAGGGGACAGGACGGGACCTTGCCAAGAAGCCCACAAGAGGGCCTTGGGTCCTAGAGCACTATGCCCACACCTCAAGCTACTGAGCAGAGAGGCCATGTCCTGCCCAGGTCGCCAGGCAAGCTGGAGGCCTCTCTAGTGCAAGAACCACCTGGAAAGGCTGCTTCCCAAGACAACTGCAAACACAGGAGGCAGGACAGGGCCCATGCGCCTGGGCAGGAAAGAAAAGAAGGGAAGCTGGGGGTTTGCTGTCGTGGTCTTGGCTTGGGGTTCACAAGGTGTGGGAAGAGGGATGAGCTCATGCAAGGGCCCACGCGGGAGCATGCAGGGAGCAGGCCGGAAGCCACAGGGTGGGCTTCCAGATCCCACACAGGAGGACGTGGGGCCAGAGAGGGTCCATCGCCAGGCGACAGAGCTGCAAAGGCTGGCAGGAGGAAGCGCCTCCCTCTTGGCCTGGATTCCAGGGATGAGCTGGGGGCAACCTCCTGGCTCAGGTCTCGGCCAGCAAGGTGCTGGGCCATGCTGCCTGTCCTCAAACTCAGCCAAGCCGACTGGGGCAGCAGAGGTCAGAGGAGGGCGCTGGCTGCACACCAGAGGCTCTGCCCAGCTTTCTGGATGACATCAATTCTCCAGAGACTCATAAAGAGACATGGAGGTGGGAGGGTCTGGAGGTGGGAGGGTCCCCACCCAAATGTCACTGAGATTAGATTCCCTGCTAGCCTGGGGGCCATGGTGTGTGTGTGTGTGTGTGTGAGAGAGAGAGAGAGAGAGAGAGAGAGAGAGAGAGAGAGAGAGAGAGAGAGAGAGAGAGAGAGAGAGAAGGAGGAAAAGGAGAGAGAGGAGAGGAGGAGGAAGAGGAGGAGAGAGAGGAGAGAGAGAAGAGAGGAGGAGAGAGAAGAGAAAGGAGTAGAGAGGAGAAGGAGAGAGAGAAGGAGGAGGAGAGAGAAAAGAAGAGAGAGGAGGAGGAGGGAGGAGGAGGAGAGAATAAAGGAGAGAGAGAGAGGAGGAGAGAGAGAAGAGAGAGGAGGAGAGAGAGGAGAGAGAGGAGGAGAGAGAGGAGAGAGAGGAGAGAGAGGAGAGAGAGGAGGAGGAAAAGGAGAGAGAGAAAAGAGAGGAGAGAGAGGAGGAGAGAGAAGAGAGAGGAGGAGAGAGAGGAGAGAGAGGAGGAGAGAGAGGAGAGAGAGGAGGAGAGAGAGGAGAGAGAGGAGAGAGAGGAGGAGGAAAAGGAGAGAGAGAAAAGAGAGGAGAGAGAGGAGGAGAGAGAAGAGAGAGGAGGAGAGAGAAGAGAGAGGAGGAGAGAGAGGAGAGAGAGGAGGAGAGAGAGGAGAGAGAGGAGGAGAGAGAGGAGAGAGAGGAGGAGAGAGAGGAGAGAGGAGGAGAGAGGAGGAGGAAGAAAAGGAGAGAAAGAAAAGAGAGAAGAGGAGAGAGAGAGAAGAAGAAGGAGGAGGAAGAGGAGGACGAGAAGGAGGAGGAGGAGAGCTAGGAGGAGGGGAGAGAGAGTAAAGGAGAGAGAGAGAGAGAGAGAGAAGGGAGAGGTGGTGGTCCTCGCCCAGGCCGTGACACACACTCAACAGAAACAGAAGTGGATGAGCTGTACCAGAACTCCCCGTCGTCCAGAGCAGCATGACACAGGCGCTTCTGGTCAGCCAGGCCCACGGACTGCCACTCGGGGGAGCTAGGAGCAACAGGGTGGAGTCAGCCAGGAGGGTCCTCCCAGGAGCCATGCTGGCTTGTGCGGCTGCCCTGCCAAGTGAATTCTCACTGGCCCCAGAAATGCACGCAGGATGCAGAGGCTCACTGGCCTCAGGTCCCCAAATGTGGAAGTGCATGTCCAAAGGCTGCTGAGGGAAGGACCTGGCCACTGGGGCCTGCTCAGTAGACACAGTGGAAAATGGCAAGGAGGTGAGTGGCCGCGGGGGGCGGGGGCAGAGGATCCCACAAAAGCCCCAGCTCAGCGTGGCCTCCAGCCTGCTGGTGCCAGGAGCAAGAGTGACCTCTACTCCTCCTTTGCCCAAGGCTGCCATTCATAACAAGCCCTCCTTTGCATAGCCTTGAAGAGGTCAGGCCAGGCTCTGTGAGGTGGGCACACCCGACCCACGGGCAGGAAGACTCGGGAGAGCTGGTGGGGAGCAGCTGCCCACCACCCTCCAAACTCAGGCTGAGGCTCCGAGTGGCCTGTGGGATCTGTGACCCTGGCACGACTCCAAACACAGCAGCCCCCTCCTTACCCTGGCGGTGCCCAGTCCGCAGCAGCCCAAGCCACCTGTGCTGTTTCTGACCTGTCGCTCCACGGCCCGTTCCACTCGACCTGGCCCCAGGGGTTCCGGACTCGGATGAGCTCGATTTTCTGGCCCCGGAAGTCTACCTAGAAGGGAGAAGCATCAGGGAGGTGGGAGGTGAGAAGACCGGAGGTTGGCTGTGTTCATCGTGGGCTTGGGCCCCTCTCCGCGGACTCATCCATCCATAACCAGCTTGCGGAATTTCCGAATTTCTATTGAAAACAGGCGGTAGCCTCTCCAGTGAGGGCCTAGTAGTCCCCGCGAATGGCCACACCTCCTCTGGACAGTGACTCCCTATCAACACGAAGCTGGAAGCTTCCTCTGGCACAGAACCCTGCATCGTGGCTTTCTGGGTTCCCTCAGCACCTGGGTGGCATAGAGCGTCCTCAGATGAGCTCGCAGAGCCCCAGGGGGTGACAGGACCACAGGGCCACAGGCTGGGAATGCAGCAAAGGAAGGCCAGATTCCTTTTCCTGGGCTTTGCCCTGGGTCACAGGAAGGAACCTGCTGTTCCAGGGGATTCTTGCACCAGGCCCTCCAGCACTGCTGTGGCAGGGAGTGGGGCCAAGGCCTTGGGTCTTGGAGGGAGAGCATGGCGGACGGACCTCTGCTCATCCACAGTGGAGACCCCAGCCACCAGAGCTGTCCTGCTCTGGTCAACATCTCCCAGCAATATCAGCTCTCAGAGCGCCTGGTGCGGCCTATGGGAACCACTCAGGAGCTCCCTGATCTGAGGTGCTTCAGAGCAAGCAGGCCCCTTGTTGGTGGAGAGGAAGCAGAACCTGTGAGCAGGATGAGGGAGACCTCTGCTTGGAATAATGCGTAGAACAACCACATGCCTACTCGAGGGGCAGGTGGACACAAGGACCAGCTCAAGCTGGAAATCAGCAGAGGATCCCCTGGGGTCTCCCACAGCTCACATCACAGAAGGGCCTTCCTCCACGCTCCAGCCACGCATTCGTGGTGTGTTACCAGGATGTGACGGCCCCAGAAGGGAGCAGAGATGCCCAGCTGCAGGGGTGGGCCAGGCAGGACCCTGGACTTCGCTGCACTTGAGCCGGGGGTGGAGCCCTTGGTTTCCCCTCTTTCCCTCTTCCGTTTCCTCCCTCTCCTCCACTTACTCAACTGCTTTAGGAGATTGTCCTGGTTGTGCCTGTGAGGGTGTCCCTGGATGAGTGGAATTTAATTGGTAGACTGAGCAGAGCAGGGAGCCCTCCCTGTGTCGGGGCCTCAGGCCTCTGCAGAAGCCCTGAGCAGGGCAGAGGAGGGGCAGAGGAGGGAGTGCTCCCAGGCTGCGGGGCCAGGACACTGCTTCCTGCCTGGGGCCTGGGAGGTCGCGCAGCCCCCCCTGTGCCAGGCCCCATTCTGACTGCCCAGGAGCCAGGCGGTGGCCTCCCAGCATCTCCAACTTGGACGGCTAATTGTGGGACTCTGCGGCTCACAATGATCTGGCCAGTTCCTGAAGCACCTGGCCATGCACGTCCTTACTCTCCTGTGGTCTTACACCCCAGGAAACCCTCTAGTGTAGATTTGGGAAGCAATAGCAGATAAGAAAAAACAGACCCAGACGCGGCCCAGGCCCCCCACTGGCTGACGCGTGGTGCCATGGGGGACTCGCTGCTATGACCTCATCTGCCTTCTCTGGGTGCGGGAACTCAGGAGGCCCGGAAGGCGACTGAACTGCAGTGCAATAAGGAAGGGCTGAGGCGCTTCCCGGTCCTGCCCACCTGGTCAAGCCCCGTGATGGTGTAGGCGTGACCCTTAATGAGACCGAAAGGCGTCCGGGCTTCAGATTCTGCAGCATTTCTGATCTGAAATGAGAACAGCGTCAGACCCTCATCTGAGCTGAGGTTTCCCCACCAGGCCAGCCCCAGCCCCATACCACTGAGCTCATGCTGCCTGTCCTGCTCCCCTTGCTGCATGAACTGGGTGTGCAGACCCGCTAACTAGGGCACAGCCAGGCACACTCTCCCAGGGCACAGAGGCCCTCCTCCCCAGAAAGGAGAAGCTCACTTTCCTGCCCCCAGGGAGAAGGTGGCCACGAGTCCTGGCCACGAGTCCTGAGGCAGGAGGCACCATTGCACGTACCAAAGAGATGCTGCCAGGTACGGGAAATGTGTGTCCCTGTGCCCCAAACATGAATGTGCAGAGGAAATGGCTAATTCATTAGGAAAAAATCCCCGAGTTTAATCCAAGAGAGAAGGGATGAATTCCCAGAAACCATCAGACGACATTGCCCTGTGTGTGCGTCTGTGCGTACAGAGAAATTAGAAAAGTGCTACTAGGTGTCTTCCTGTCAGTGCGAAGGGCTCTCTTCCTAGTGTGTGTAGGAGGCAGCAAGCTTCAGAAAGCTGCACGGGCAGATGCCCCATCAGTGAAATCAAGCCAGCCTGTGTGTGGGTGTGTACCCGTCTGCAGGGTCAGAGGGCTGAGGGGTGGGCTGGCCAGGGCCAGGAGGCCAAGCAGGAGATGCGGGCTGCTCACGGTGCCCCAACAGCCAAATGCTTCTAACCTAATCAGGAAAGCTAAGCAGCAGCCTGAGTATCGCTGAAGAGATAAGCACCAGCACTCCCACCATGGTTACACACCCTCTTGAGGAGCCAGGGCCCCTGGTAGAGACCCCATGCTCTGAGTGAGGGCAGCCCCTACTCACATCCATGGAGCAGCCGAGCAGGGAGCCGCGCTTCAGGGCCTTCCCCAGGATGGTGTAGAAGTCCTGTGGGGCCTCTCTGGTCAGGAAGGTCTCCGCCACACCCCCGGTGAAGTCCTCCATGGCCTCCAGGGTGCTGCCCCCCTTCAGCGCTTCATAGCTCCCGTTCAGCCTGCGAGGGCAGCAGGGCCAGGTGGCTGTGGGCAGGTGGACGGGGACAAGGGGGGTGGGAGCAGTTTTGCTTGGCTGGAGGAGGCCGCGATCCTGGTCCCTGGGGCAGCAGTGGGCGGGTGGCACAGGACTCCCCAGGTGGTCAGGGCTCCAGACCCAGCTCCCCAACAGGCAGAATGACCATGGCCAGTTGCCTAGGCCTCTCCTAAAGCTGTGCTTGCTTTTTCTCTGCATGAAGGCCGAGATAACCCCAGCAGAGCAGTTCTGGTTCATAGAAATGCCAGAAGAGTCGCATCCCTACACCCTGCCCCCAGGTTTCCTCTGGGTGGCATCCTGCATTGGCATGGGCACACCTGTGAGGGCGACTGAGCTCATGCTGGCCTTAGGTTCCAGGGCCCTGCACCTTCACCCCATGTCTGTTTCCTGTGTCAGGCTCCCTGCAGGACCCATGGCCGCTGTCCTCACCTCTCCTTAGGCTCCTCTGGGCCGTGACTCCCTGATGCACAGAACTGCGCTGCAGAGGCCAGGCCTTGCTCTTAGTGTCCAGTCCACTTTGCAAAGCAGTGCAGCACTTGGCCCCCGAGTGACTCCATGTGGACAGAGCCCAGGGGCCAACTGAAATCTTACCAGGAACATCAGACGTGGGAGCTTATCGAGCTCAGCAGATGGAACTTCTTCCTAAGACCCTCACAGGGAGGACCCCCAAGACTAGACACAGTGGCACCCTGACCCCGTGACCTGATCACATGTCATGAGCCATCTCCAGGGAAATTGGCACATCAAAGAGCCTCCAGCTCTGCCCCTACCATTTTTAACAAGCAAAGGAAAAGCACATCCTGTGTGGACGCTGGGTCCCCGCCCAGGTGGGAAGCAGCCCAGGCATGTCTGGGGGGGGTCTGAAGAGCCGCAAGCATCAGCACAGCCTGAAGTTCCCCCAGCTCTCCCAGGTCCACTCCCGCCAGCTCTCCTGAAGTCCACCTCCACCCCTCAGGGAGACCCAGGGGCAGGTGTGGCCATGTGCCCAGAGTGGACCTGGGCCCCAGGTACATTGGGCCTCAGCAGGAAGCCTGCTCCTGGGACTCCTTGTCCAGCCCCATCCCCTCCCGCGCCTCACACATGGCCCCTCCGCTGGCCTTCCCGCAGGGACTCACTTTGCATAGGCCTTCTCCAGCAGGGCGCTCCAGAACTCGGTGTGGTCGGCAGAGTGGAGGAAGACCAGGCGGCCACGGAAGGTGGGCAGGCGGTCGTCGATCACCACATCCAGCCACTCGCTGTGCTGCCAGAACTGGAGCCCAGAGTAGAGCCAGGAGCAGCGGGAGAGTCAGGGGGCCACCAGCAAATGCTCGCCTGTAGCCCCCTCTGAGCAAGCTGCACACTCATCTCGAGAGTCCCTGGGCTCCAGGAGGGGCCACCTGAGTCCATAGGCCACATGCTGGGCCTTCAACCCTGCACGGACACCAGCAGCAGGACCAGTGTCACCCCCAGCAGTGGGTGGCAGTTGCTGGTGGCCTCTGGTGGCCTCTGGCTGCCTCGGTGCTCTGAACTCTCCTGCGCAGTCTGCTTTGGCAGGAGAGGGCAGCACTCTGCCCCTGCCCAGGCAGCCTCTGCCCTCCCGCCCAGCTTGGGGTCTGGCTCCACATCCCTCGCTCCTCAGTTCCCTGCTGGCCCATTGGTGGAGCCCAAGACTGTGCCTTGGTGGGGCCCAGAGCAGAGCCAAGAGCAGCAGGGGAGTCAGGGAGCCAGGTGTGGACGTGGGGGTGTGGGTGTAGTGGACATGGGTCCCAGTGTACAGGGGTGTGAATGTGTGCACACAGTGCTTGTTTAAGTGCACATGTGCCAGCCCGTGTGCTCACAGGGGACAGGGAGGCGGGAGCAAGTCAAGGCTGGGCGCCGCTGTCCCTCTGTGCTTCTTAGTGTGAACAGGGACCTCCTCCTCTGGCTCCTTCTGGTGTACTGGGCTGCGCCCCTCAGGATGGTAGCAAGTGTGAGGGAGGTGACAGGGAGCACAGGCAGTGGCCTGGGGGCCATGTCCCAGGGCTCTTTGCCAGGGCACTCTGGGCCACTCCTGTGGCAGCTTCTCCCCAGCTGGACTTTGCTGCCCCCGTGTCTGGCTGAGGCCACGTGTGTCTTAGGGGCTGTCCTGCCACGTGCCAAGCAGGACTCATGCCCAGTCCTTTCTCCCTGAGGCTCTCAGGTATTTGTGGCTTTGGGTGCAGTGCTGCTGATGTCCAGACCAGCTCCCCTGGGCTGGGGGACGGGAGAGGAGTGCTCAGGGGTGGCCATGCACAGAGAGGGCTTTGAGAGGCTATGGGTGACAGAGGCCAGCTCTGTTGTACTACTGGTCCCCTCATCCACAGTGTGGCTGTGCTGTGGGACAGAGGAACACTGCAGGAGGTCAGGAAGGTGGAGGCCCAGGGGTCATAGGGAACAGGAGGAGTGAAGAAGGACAGGGAGAGGGAGGTCCAAGGGCCATAGGCATACACAGGGTGTCAGAGGTGGCCCGTGGAGCCCAAGGCCCAGGGCCAGGCTCAGGGCTGTCCTGCTTATGCTCGTTACTTTGTGACTTTGGTCAGCCACTTCTCTCCCTGGCCTCAGAGTCACGAGGGGAAAACGGGGGCCCTGCCGACTATGGAGTTCTGGGAGATGGGGAGGACACTGTTCCCTGGGGAGTGGCTCAGATGCTGGTGCTGGGAGCAGGGCCTGGTTAGGTTCAAGCAGCCCGCTGCCACCCTGACGGGCTGTAGGGTCTGCAGGGCCAGGCGCGGGCACTGCGAAGCCAGCATAGTGGTGTACAGAAGTGGGAGAGGGGAGACTGCCAGTGTGACGGGTCTGTGGGGGAGGGGAGGGCTCCCCAGGCCCAGAGGGGCTGTGCCCCAGGCTTGGGGAGCCTGCCACTGTCACAGTGGGGGACCTGCTGCCCACATTGCTGCCAGTCTGCCTTAAACCCTGCCAGGTTTCTGTCACTAGGCCCAAGAGTGCCTCAGAGAGCAGGCCTTGGGGTGGAGGGACAGGGCTGCAGGAGCCACCGCACTGTGAGGCACCCTGCCTTGCACCTGGGCTCCTGGTGGCTGTCTCCCCAGGGACACCTGCAGAGGCTGGCCTCACGGGAAAGGCTGCCTGAGTGCCCGGCCCATGACATACTAGCATGGGGTTGGACGCTGGGCAAGGACCCCGGGCAGAGGACAGCGGAGATGGCCGGGAGCAGGCCAGGACAGTCCTGGTGGCAGGCTGCGCTGTGGGTCACAGGTGATCCCGCGGGCACCTTGGTGGCAAATCTCAGGTTTTATATTTAAACTCACTCAAGGTCTCCGAATTTACATTTCCAAACCTCCGTTCAGGGGAAATAATCCAGCTCCACAGAGGTTGATGCTTCTCTGGCCTCTATGCTCAAAGTTCAAGGAATTCCCAGCAGAGACACCTCTGGGACCCCCTGACCTGTGGCCCAGGTCTGCAGCCCCCAGAGTTTCCCTGGATGCTTTCCCTGAGGGCCACCAGGCCACGCCCCCAAGGGTGCTCCAGCCTGCTGTTCCTGCGTGCAGTGGGGCAGTGGCACCCTGCTGGCCTGAGAGGGCACCCACTGGCCCCGCTGCTCTCACCTGGAAGTGGAATATCCCGGCATAGCCAGGGCCAAAGCTCTGGTCCTGGGGAACCACTCTGGCCAGCGCCTTCTCATTGAGCGTGAGGGAGGCGATGGCAGCCAGCAGCCAGCAGTCCCCTGCCGAGGAGGGCCACAGTCAGCCTGCGTCCTCCTCCTCCGCAGCTGGCAAGACGCAACACCAGAGAGGCTGTGGGGAGTCCCCCAGGCCACAGCTCTGTGCTTTTGAACAAGGACAGAGGCCAGCAGTGCCTCTGGCCCCTCCCTGCCCCCGCCTGCCCTTCTCTAGCCCAGGGGTGGGGGTGCTCCCTGGGGTTCCAGGCACCAGCCCCACGACTCCCAGCCCCACTTTCCTAAGCTCACGGCTGCGTGTGTGCAGTGTCCGTGTGGGCAGCATGCAGTGGCCATGTGGGAGCATGGGCAGACCCCCCGTGCTGCAGCCACACAGGTCCAGCTGTACTTTTGGGGAGAGGGGCTCAGGATGGGCCAGTGAGACACCATAGCAGGAGCCAGGTCTCCACAGTCAGACTGCCCACCTGCCACTTCCAGGATGGGGCCAGTGGCTTGTTCCCTTGGCCCCAGTTTTCATCTGTGTCGTGGAGGGAGCTGTGTTCCTAGGGCAGGACAGGTCAGGTACAGGAGGGGCTGCTCTCTGGGGACTCCTGGGTGGGGCCCAGGGATGGCAGGTGTGCCCAGCAGGTGTGCGAGGGGCCTGGAGCTCAGGGGGTGAGCTCAGGGGGAAGGGAGAGGGGAGCGGAGATCCTGGGGACCCCTGCTGCTCCTGCCCTGGAGGCCCCTCAGGGTGTGACCCCACTTACCCAGCTCCCCCTGGCAGATGTCTGTCCTAGTGGCCCCTCCCAGGATGAATTCAGGCTTCTCCACGATTTCCTGGAGGAGTGAGAGTCAGGTAAGGCCCACCACTGTGGGCAGCAAGAAAGAGCGGGCACGGCAGCAATGGACCCCACAGAGGGGTGGGCCCGAGGAAGGCTCCAAGTCCCCTGCCCGGGCTTCTCTCTGGTATGTCCTGTCCCCAGGGAAAGCAGCCTCTTGCCACAGTCTCCTCTGCCATAGACTCCCACATGGATGACCCTATGTGGAGGCTGGAGGGTCTGTAGCGAGCACTGCTCACTGTGAACCTTGCCACCTTTGAGGGCCCTGGACTCCTGGTCTTGCCCAGAGGCGACAGGTTTAGCTGCATAGGCCAGTGTCCAGACCAAGCTCAGCCCTGCCAGCTGCTCTCTTCAGACCAGCATTTAGGTCAAATTCAAATCTGTGCATAGAGGGATGTGCAGCCTTGCATACGATCTCAGCCAAGTACACTGTATTTTTATTGCATATTACATGTTATTATATTTTATAATTGTTAATTATGTCCATATTGATATGATCATTCATGTTTGTATGAATAATATAAAAGATAAACATAAAACATTAAACAAAAACAGCATTGGAAAGCATTTTCATAAAATCCATACAGTTGAGAAACTATTTTAAATGTCATGCTAAGTGAAATAAGCCAGTCCCCAAAAGTCAAAGGCCAAATGCTTTCTCCAATATGCAGAAGCTGACCCAAAATAAGGTCAGGGGGGTGGGGTGGGGGATAGAAGAAAGATCAGAGGAGGAGAGGAAGGGGGATGAAGGGAGGGGTGGGATAGGAGAGTAGAGGATGGGACGGCACCTTCCTGGGTACACACATGGACAGCGACCCCACCATTGGTACGTCCACAGCCTCTAAAGATTAAAGACTAAAGACAGATATGAGTGAAAAGCCGTAAGTTCATAGAGCAGGAGATGGGAACAGGGCAGGGGGAGGAAGGGCAGGGGAAGCTCTGGGGACTGAACTAGGGGAAATCATGGTCCATGCTTTTGCCATTATGTCAAAATGAATCCTAATGTTATGTGTAACTAAAAGGAACCAATAAAAAAAGGCCACGAGAATGAGGTCCTGAGACTGGAGCCCAGAAGCAGGAGTGATAGATGGACTCACCTGGCACCCTGGCGGTCCTGGCCCCCAGGGTGGGCACCCTCCAGGCCCCTCCCGCTCACTGCGACTCTTTCTGGGGTGAATAAGGGACGCCGGGCAGCAGACCTGGTGGCTCTGCAGACCTTGGTGGTTCTGCTGACCTGGTGGTTCTGCAGACCTGGGTGGTTCTGCTTGGCTGGTGCGGCCAGTGCGCGGGACCTCCTAGTACTGCTCTCTGGGCCAGGAGGGCTCCCACTTCTCCCCAAATGAAGCCCATGCCTCAACGCTCAGCCTGCCTCGACTTCCCATCTTTCTCCCAGTGCCAGTATCTGTCCCTGGCACCAGACTGCAGAATAGATAAGAAAGAGTCTCCGCACTCACAGGGACAGACCACGAACCAGGGGCAAGTGCCCGGTGGAGGGGGTGGGATGGCCAGGGGGCTCTGGGGAGCTGACAGCGAAGAGGCCCAAGCAATTGCGGTGGGTGCTATGTAGGGATGGGGATGGCAAAGAGCACGTCCTAGACCCCATGGTGACAAGAGCAGGGTGGTACTGGTGACGAAGGGACCATCCACCTCCTTCCAGGCTCCAGGACTGAGGAGGACCAGGCTTGGAGGCCAGAAGTGCCAGGAGCCCCTCAGCCCATCCTGCAGGAGCCCCAGGTGCGGCTGCTTGGAGACCACCCTGAGCCCACCACCTCGAGCCTGCCAAGACCCTGCTTCTTCTCTGCTCATGGGTCCCAGGGAATCAGCGGGTGGGGATCATGCTAATCCCAGGGCATTTCCAGCAGAGCGGAGGTCTAAGCTGGTGGCGCCCTGTGCTAGCCTGCTGCCATGGTGGGCCCAGAGCGGCTCAGGAAGGCTGCATGGTCTTATTCTTTTCCAAAATGCCCACACAAGCTTACCAAGAGGACTTCTGAAAAAGACTGTGCTATGCCCCAGAAACTCAAGGCCTGGCAGGGGCACACCAGCCTGGGGCCAGCGCCTTCTCCGTGAGGCCCCGCACGTCCTCGCATTCCTCCCTTGGCTCCAGGCAGCCCTGTAGTCTTTTCATCAAAGGACCACATTCTCCAGTGTGGGAGGACTGGCCCAAAGGCAGTGGGCAGCTCCCAGAGTCTGTGTCCTGGCTGGCCGGGGTGGCCCTCTGCATCTGTACGAGGCACGCCATGTCCCCGCCACTGCTGCTGCCTCCTGGCTCATTGCTTCCCTCCAAGTTGAGGCTGGCAGCTCCCTGGCCCCTGCATCCCCAGGCCCCGCTAAAGGCAAGCCTGCCTGCCACTGCCCTCCAGTGCTGCCCTGGCTAGGTGCTTGCCCTCCCCGCGCGCAGCTCTGTTTGACAAGAAGGCGTGCTGGGGTAGGGAGCCGGTGTCACCTGGAGAGTTCGCACCAATGAGGCTGCACAGTAGGCAGAGCCCAGTGGCCTTCTGGGGAACCGGGCACCCAGGACACCCCCTCAGGACTGTGGAGTTGCCTGGCTCCTGATCCCATGGTCATCTGTAAGGTAGACTGCAGAGCTCCAGACAGAAAGCAGGTGTTTGTGGGAACAGGAACAGACAGTAGAGGCAGTCACTGGAGCGGACGGTGGGGACAGTCTCAGGTGCATACACAGGAGAGGCTGGCAGGCCCCACTGAGAAGCGAGGCCACAGGCAGGCAGCCAACAGGAGGCCTAAACATGCACGGGGACAGTTGTCAGTCCCAGTGGAGAGGGCAGGGTACCGTGGAGGGGCTGCAGGCACTGGGGTCCTGGCTGTGGAGCAAGGCCTCCCCAGATCTGGGGACAGAACCGAGATGACATCAGGGCTGAGTCTGAGACTCTAAGTCCCTGGGTGAGACGGTGGCCCTGCTGTAGGGATGGGAGCAGAAGGTGGCAGTTCCAGAGGTAACCCAGCCCCTCTGCAGGCTGCAAGGCGGGGCCTCCAATGGGAGAGGAAGGAGGATGGCGTGAACTGGCAGTAGTGGCAGCGGCACTAAACCTGCTGGTCCTGTGCAGAGTAGAGGCTCAGCACTCTACCACACTGACTGGCGTCCTCACTGTGACCCCAGAGGTGGGGCCATCATTGTCCCCCTTCATGGAGAGAAAGCTGAGGTCTGCGGTGGCTGCTCTTTTCCCCCCCACCCCCCGCCGCCTGCACTGTGCCTTTAGACAGCACTGGTATCTGCTGGGCACCAGGGAGAAAAGGCTGCAGTGGCCACACCAGGCTCTAGTCCCTTGGGCTGGGGCATCACCTTCCCTGGGGATCCTGACTCCAAGGACTCCCACCCCTCGGTTAAAGATGCACCCATCCCGAAGTCTGGGGCAGCCCCGTGCCCAGCTGTTCAGGGGCCATGGGCCGGAAGCAAGAGACTGCAGACTGGCAAGGCCCTCAGGGCCACTCTTGTCTTCGGTTACTCTGGAAGTGTCCTTCCTCCTGCAAGGCGTGGTCTAACCCTACCCACACATGCACACACATGCCTGCTCACATGTGCACACACGTGACCTAATGCATGATGCACATGAATCCCACTCTGCCCACATCAGGAATTGACCTCACAGGCCACCCCTTCAGGAATAACAGCTGTGCATGCGGGTCCCGCCCTGAGGAGCCCAGCTGTTTCCAGCGTGTGCTTTTTAGAATTGCTGTGTTTACTCGAGGCGTGGCCATTCCTGTTGGAGACGGGGAGATATGTGCGGGGGCCCTTCGCTCCCCCATCCGAGTGTGCTCCAGATCTGTAGATGGCAGTGGGGTTAACATGACCTCAGCTGCCCTTTACTGAAAATGTCCTGAGTGCTGGGCAGGGAGCCGTCTAGGCCAAGCCACTCCATTCCACAGGTGTGCAGACTGAGGCTCAGGGTCACAGGGTAGTATGGGACTGGCATTTGGGGCTCACGTCCAGGCCTGGCACCCTTGCACTGTCCCTCCTCACTCACAGGAGCTGCTCCCAGGGCAGGACCTGCCCAGAGGAGCCTCAGCCGTGGCGCCAGGTCGGAGGCGGGCCCTGACTAACCCGCACTGTAAATATTGACATGGCGCCCAGCCCCAGCTGGCGCCTCTTGAGACCTGTCACCCCCGGACTTGCAAGGTGGGGTGGCCCCCACTCTGGCCCTTCTGGGAAGGGGCAAAGGCTCTGGGAGTCTGCATGTGCTGAACGTGAACATCTGTCCACACGGAGTGTCCGTAGCCCACAGGTGCGCCACATCTGCATCGCCACCCTCTGAATGCCTGGGCCCTGGTTGCTCGATTCCCCTGAATTCTGGGGGAAACGTCACACAGATGTGCAATATATATATATATATATATATATATATATATATATATATATATATATTTATATATATATATAATATATATATTTATTATATATAATATATATATATTTATGATATATATATATATATTTATAATATATATATATACACTTTTTTAGTTGTAGAAGGACACACAATATCTCTGCTTATTAATTTATTGTTATGTGGTGCTGAGGACGGAACCAGAGCCTTACACCTGCTAGACAAGCATTCTGCCACTGAGCCCCAGCCTCAGACCCCAGAGATGGCTCTTTTTGATAAGGCTTCAGTAGCTCCCCACACATAGCCCCTCTGTCTGGTCCCCAGCCTCTGTGGGAGTGAAAAGCAGGAGGTGAGGGGTGCACCCAGACACCCGGGGTGCCCAGGCTGAGCCACCCTAGCCCACACACCATCTCCTGCCCGCACGCCACAGAGCCCTGGGCCACAGGCGTGCAGGGAGCCCTCCCTCCTGCTTCTCCCTCCCCTGGAGCTTGACACCCTCCCTCTGGGCCGCTGAGCCACAAAACCCTGTACCCCCTCCTCACCCCACTCACCCCTGGCCGTTTCCACTCAAAGGGGACCTGGGACCTCTCACTGTAGAACAGGGAGGTGTTGTTGGCAGGGAAGTCCACGTCCTCAAACAGGCTGCCCGTCTGCAGGGAGCCCTGCCTCAGCTGCTCAAAGCTCTGGCCTGAGGAGTGAGTGGTCCGGGCATTCTGGGGGACAGGATGGGCCTGCAGCCCCGGGGGCCCATGCAGGTAAGGCATGGCTGCTTCCTGGCAGGCAGGGGTGGGAGGCAGAGGCAAAGAAGGGCAGAGGCTAGCTGTGCGGCTCTGTGTGCTGGTCAGCTAGGAGTAGCCCAGGCCCTGGCTGGGCCGCCCACCTCCACCTGCTTGCTGGGAGCCTCCCTGTTAGACGGACATGGGACACACCCTGATGGCAAATAGAGAGCGCCCTGGGCCGGCTTGGGGCTCCATGGAGGCAGCACCTGAGCTTCTCGCACTGGGGAACCCTGGGGGGAGGAGGGCTTCCCCATGGGAAGAGGAGGAGAAGAGTCTGGTGCAGGAGGCGGCAGTGGGGACAGACAGCCTGTGTCTGAGCTTGTCTCTGGCTGGAGCCTGGCAGGGCTTTGGGTCGGGGGTGGAGCGGGGGAGCTGGTGCATCTGAAGGTGCCCTGTAACAACAGCTGCAGGCTCTAAGTCCTCCCAGTGACCCACAGCGGGCTCGGAAGCCTTTTCCTGTGAGTGGACGAGGGAGCCAAGGAAGCCTTCCTATACATGCAGGCAGGCCAGTGTCACCCTGTGTGACCAGAGGCAGGTGAGCTCAGAGGACGTCACGTCACAGCCCCACCTGTCTGGGCTTCTTCTCCAGCTATCAGCTCGGAGCCCCTGGTTGGGTAAAACCCCACACGCGGACAGCTGAAGGAGAGTGCGAGCCACCTGGGAGCCCCATGCACTCCCAAAGCGGTCACCATCTCTGTGTGATTCTGTGATAGGAGTCTGCAGTGGCTGGGGGCAACCAAGACTGATGAGAATTTTTTGTGACCAGCAGTGGTCACTGGGTCCAACGGGTTTTCTGTTCAGGGATCCTGCAAGTTGTCATTAAAAAGAAAGGTGCTGACATGAGGTTGGAGATTCAGGCTCACTCTGCTGTGGCCTGAATGACTGTCTCCCAACCCTGCCCCAAACCCATGCCGAAGTCTCAACCCCCACCTGATGGTGTCAGGAGCAGGATCTTTGGGGGGGTGCTTAGATCATGAGTGTGGCGCTCACAAATGCAACTGGTGTTCTCACAGCAGGCCTCAGAGAGCTCCCCCGTGTCCCTCACCACGTGTGGCTGCAGCGAGGAGGCCCATTGAAGCTGGGGGCCTTGGACTCCTGGCCTCCAGAACCAGCCTCCAGAACCGGAGCAACAACTGTCTGCTGTCTCTAAGCCTCTGGTCTGTGGTGTTTTGTTACAGCGACTGGGATGGACTGATACAAGCTTGGGGGGCTCTGCCTCAGCGGGAACCCCCAGCATCTGCCTGGGGTCTCAGCCGAGTTGCTCAGGATCTGCGCCTGCTTCTGCAGGATGAACCAGGACAAAGGCATTGCTCCCGGGCACAGGGATCATGGACAAAGCAGCTTGCTTCCTCTCTTTCCCTGTCCTCTCTGCACCCTGCCCACCCCCAGACCCTGCTCTCAGGACCCTTTGAGCCTCACTCTCTTGTGTTCCAGGCTCAGTGAAGGACTCTGGAATGTGCAGGGCCAGTCCATCTGTCCTAAGGACTCTGAAGAAGGCAGAGCTGCCAGCGGCCAGTTGCCACTGCCCCATCAGACAGCGCCTTCTGTAGGATCCAGGAGGGCCACCAGGGAGACAGGCGGGCAAGGCGAGAGACATCGCTTTCTGGTGGCCCCTCAGCAGGGAAATGAAGTGTCCCCTTCAAGGGCCCCAGCGTGGGGAAGGGGCTTGGAGTGTACTTGGCACTGTCGGGGGCTGTGCGGGGCTGCCTGGTGTGCTCCTGTCCCAGCTCCAGGAACCTGTGTTCCCGTCCTCCCGCCTGGGCCTACGCAGGAAGAGCCTGTCCCCTCACCTTAGCTGCCAGGCAGTCAGCTGCACTGAGGTCCCAGGACTGCGGCCAGAAACCTTGAGGGGAGGATTGCAGCCTGCTCAGCAGCCAGGGCTTGAGCTCAGCCTGCCCCTGCTCCCCAGGACCCCGCCATGTCTGTCACCACTGGGGCATCCTCCCCAGCCCCCAAGTCCTGTTCCTTGGGAAGCCGTGACCGACCGCAGGCAGCCAGCCCCACTGTGCTGACCTTTCCTGCAGAGCTCACTGTGCAGGTGATGTGGCATCTGACCCCACCCCAGCTCAGTCCGCAGGTACTAAGCACAGTGGACTCTCACTCCCACAGGGACTGTGAGCTGCCACTTGCCTGTTGAGAGCCACAGCTGAGTCGGAATGGCCCCTGGCATTTTGCCAAAAGTAATGGTTGAGAGGCGAGCCATTAAGATGATGCTGGATTGATTCAATTGTATATTAGACCTTTACTGTCCAGTAATAGGATGGCTGTTGCTGCCTCGATAGCCCGCCTGCTACTTTGGAGTTCCTGTTGAGTTCTCCCGGGGTTCCGAGAGTGAGTGCGCGCGCAGCCTGGGGGAGGGAGTTCCAATTGGTGTGTGGTGTGTTCCTGGAGGGGCCGCGTGGGTGGCGTTCGGGAGAGTTCCCGGGGAGTGTGCTGGTGGAGTTCGGAAATAAAGTTTGTTCCTACTTGAGTGGCTCGTGATTTGTGCTCAGCCAGATTGCGGCACTTGCCTGCTTCCCCAAGCTATCCGTGTGCTGGCTGTCACTGCCGCAGGGGCTCCTGTGCTCACACCACCACCCAGGTTACAGTGAGACCCTCGTTTCCTGCTCCTGTGACCTGATTCCTGGAACACCCCTGCACCCCGCCTTGCCCTGTCACAGACCAGCCACCACAAGCTTCCCGCTCCATGGGAATGAACCTGTCCAGGCCCTGTGGGGGAAGGTCATCTCCTGAGGTGACGGCTGCCCACCCAGATCTCCCCAGCCCCCCCTGTTCTTCAGGGTAATGCCTCATCTTTGGCCTTAGGTGTCTTGGGGCAGTGCAGTGGTGGCCTGGCTGGGCAGTGGGCATGGGCTGTGCCCGCCATGCCAGTGTGCGCCTGAGGTGAGGCAGCCAGGGCCAAGGTGAGCAGGGCACCCGACCTGTCATGTGGTGGAGGCTGACCTGGGCGGGGCAAGGCCTGCTCCATAGTACCACAGCAGGAGCCCTGAGCGTCCATGGTCCTGCGACCTCACCCTCTTACTTCCCAACCAGTGGCAGGGAGACAGAGGCAGGGTAGAGCTGGGGGGAGATTCAGGCTCAAGGCCTGGCCAACAGTGACCCACCACTGGGTTGGAGAGAGCCTGGAGCTGCGGGTGCACTTTGCTAGACTCTGATGACTATAAGTTTGAACCAGTAGAAATTGCACTTTTCCAAACCCCAATTAGCATAAGTTTGGACCCACAGCAGTGACCCAAGTGCTATATAAACCCTGGACTAGCACCCTCGGGGCCAGCCTTTGGGGTTCTTAAGCCTATACCAGCGACTGTTCCTATCTGCTGTTGCCTTCTGTTGTTGGGTGAACTCCATTCTCCAGATCTGTCAGAGGAGAGCTGCTGGGTGAGCGGTGACCCTGCACCCTTGGTGGTGGAGAAGGGTCTGGCTGCCATCCACAGCCCATGCAGCAGGTGTCCCTGCTATGGTCAGCTGCGGTCACTGACATGGCTTCCTTGGCTGCACAGGCCTACAGCACACAGATTCCACCCAATAAGAGAGCAGAGGTTACTCCGGTTTCAGTCCAACTCCAGTGCTTCCAGGGACCTGGCAGCACTCAGGTACCCAAATCTCCAAAAAGAGGGTCTAACAAGGACTCAGGCTTCGGGGAGCAGCCCAGACGGCTCTGACCAGGGAGGGTGCTACAGAGGCGAAAAGGCCTTGGGAAGCCACAGGGTCACAAGCTGACCACAGACCCTCCTAACTTGAGTTGAGCAAAAGAGCCTGCAGCTCAGCTGACTGGGGTCGGCTGCTCCTGGAGAAGAGAGCTTGCTCCAGTGCATGGTCATGCTGTTACCTTGCTTCCCCAATGTTGAAGTATAACACCAGAGAAGCACGCAGAGGCAAGGTTAGAGTGGAAAGTAGAGGCTTTATTAAAGGACAGCAGAAAAGACTTCTCCAGGAGGAATAAGGGGACCCAAGAGGTGCAATCCGTGGAAGGGGGGAGGTCTTCCTCTTTTATAGCTAAGGTCTTTTTAGCTTTCCCACATTCCTGTCCTCTGTTCTGTTATCTTTCAGTGATGGAATGTAAGTGGGCAGGCCAGAAGGGTGGGGCACAGGTGGGCCAAAGGAGTAATCTGGGCAGGTGTTGGGGACTGCAAATCAAGTCAAGATGGCGCCTGGCAGTTTGCCAGGAGGAGTGGTTTGTGAAGCAATGCCACTGAGCCATTAAGTTGATGGAGATTCCTTATTGGCTGATTGCCGAAACTGGATGATGCTAATTGAGTCAAGCTGTGTGTAACCAGTTAGGTATATATACCTCTGCTGTTTTGCAATAAGGCGGCTCCTGCTACCTTGGGTGCCCACTACCTTGAGTTCCTGCTCAGTTCCTGCTGAGTTTCCCTGCAATAAAGCAGTTCCCGCTTCAACCTTCAAGTTGCTTGTCACCTCCCGGTTATTCTGCCCAGCCGGACTGCAGCATATGGTGGCCCATACAGGGAAACTCCAGGACGCTTGGGAGTAAGTGACAAGGTAAACTGCTTGCCCCTAAGCATGGGTGACCATTTCAAGAAACAGTGTGTTCTTGTTTCATTTTGTTTCGTTTTATTTTTAAGCTGCCTGTCCCTAGAAATAAATAGGAGGGGAGAAAAGCTGCTCGCCCCTGAGGAAGGCGCACGTGTGGCCGTGCCCCAGAGGATGCATGCCCCGGCAGCGAGCCGCGGGACGCCGTGGTGTCGTCCGCCGTCGCTCGCTCCCCGCCGGGGTGGGGCTCATGTTGTGGGAGAACAGATAGGGCGAGAGGACAGATGGACATTTCAAGAAAATAGAAAAATTGATACAATGTGTTTTTTTTCCGTTTTTGCTTCATTTTATTTCGGTTTTGTTTTGTGTTATCTTAGTGGGTTGCGTTATCTTTGTTATGGAAATATGGGATCAGAAGCTAGTAAAAAACAAACCGAAAGGGTGTTAAGTAAATTGCTAGAGGAAGGAGGCACCGCAATAAAACCAAGAAT